ACTCTTGCACCAAAGGTTCCCAATTTGGGTCACTGTAAAGATCCCCAAAGGTCTTAGATAAGACCTGTGCACAGGTGAGAGACATCCCCCAGAGATGGACCATTTAACTCTTCAGTATCCTGCCTATGTTCATTTTCACAGAGGGAGGATGTCGATACAACCCACTGCCACCTCAACCCTGATGCAGTATACACATTCAGATCATGCCTAATGCATGAACACAGCAGAAACCAGGATGAAATAGATCCCATCATCCCTGCAGTTCAGAAACACATTGGAAGGATCCCAGACGACTGAAGCACTTGCTTTGGAAGCTGAGGGCCAATCCTCGGTCAAATAGGATCCACTTCTCAAAAAAAAAAAAAAAAAAACCATCTCACAAAGTTGCCTCTTGAGCCTTCAGCAATAGAGCTCACACGGGACCCCAGCAAGGTCTGCGCATGTACGTCTGGCTCTAGCGAAACTGCCACCAGGTCACATTTGTTCTTCTGTCAGGGAGCACCACATCCCATTAAATGGGAGACTGATTGGGCATTGAAATTCAACAGGATGTCGAGCAGTGATGTGACATTGTTTACCACACACTGTCTCTCATCTTTAAAAGGTGCCGTAGAACATGGGAGATGCCTGAGGACTGGATGAAAGCCAATGCCACACCAGTCTTCAAAAAGGGCAAGAAGGAGGACCCAGGCAACTACAGGCTGGTGAGCCTCACCTCCATCCCTGGAAAAGTGATGGAACAGCTCATCCCGGCTGCTGTCTCCAGATACATGGAGAACAAGAAGGTGCTCTGAAGTAGCCAGCACGGATTCACCAAGGGGAAATCATGCTTGATTAACCTGATTGCCTTCTATGATGGAATGACTGGCTGGATAGAGGAGGGGAGAGCGGTGGAAGTCATCTATCTGGACTTGAGCAAGGCTTTTGACACTGTCCCTCACAGCATCCTCCTGGGCAAGCTCCAGAGGTGTGGGATAGGTGAGTGGATGGTGAGGTGGATTGAGAACTGGCTGAATGGTAGAGCTCAGAGGGTGGTGATCAGTGGTGAAGAGTCCAGTTGGAGGCCTGTAGTTAGTGGTGTCCCCCAGGGGTCGGTCCTAGGTCCAGTCCTGTTCAACTTATTCATTAACAACCTGGATGAAGGGCTGGAGTGCTCCCTCAGCAAGTTTGCTGATGATACCAGACTGAGAGAAGTAGTTGATAGCCCTGAGGGCTGTGCTGTCATCCCGAGAGACCTGGACGCACTGGACAAGTGGGCGGTGAGAAATCTCATGAAGTTCAACAAGGGCAAGTGCAGGGTCCTGTGCTTGGAGAGGAATAACTCCAGACACCAGCACAGGCTGGGGACTGACCTTGTGGAGAACAGCTCTGTCGAGAGGGACCTGGGTGTCATGGTGGATGACAAGTTGACCATGAGGCAGCAGTAGGACCTCAAGGCCAAGAAGGCCAACAGAACAGGATCCTGGGGTGCATTAAGAAGAGCGTCTCGAGCAGGTCGAGGGAGGTGATTGTCCCCCTGTACACAGCCCTGGTGAGGCCACATCTGGAGCCTGTGTCCAGTTCTGGGCTCCCCAGTACAAGAGGGATGTGGAGCTGCTGGAGAGAGTCCAGCGCAGGGCTACCAGGATGATCAGGGGCTGGAACATCTGCCCTATGAGCAAAGGCTGAGGGAGTTGGGTCTGTTCAGCCTGGAGAAGAGGAGGCTGAGGGGGGACCTGATCAGCGTGTATAAATACCTCAAGGGAGGGAGGAGGATGGCACCAGCCTGAGGAAACAGTCACAAACTGAAGCATCGAAAGTTCCGTGGGAACTTAAGGAGAAATTTCTTGACAGTGAGGGTGACAGAGCCCTGGAACAGGCTGCCCAGAGAGGCTGTGGAGTCTCTCTCTGGGGATCTTCCAAACCCACCTGGATGCCGCCCTGTGCCACATGCTCTGGGTGCCCCTTTTGGAGCAGGTGGGTTGGACTAGATGATCTCTAGAGGTTCCTTCCAACCTTAACGTTTCTTTGTTTCTATGACATACAACAGCATAGTCAGTATCTTCAGTCCCTGACTTGGCTCTGTTTCTTTTTTGGGGTCTTATGCACAAGGAATATAAAAACAATTTGAGGCTGATTGTGCCAGAAGGTCTGTTCCCTTGGCTTGCATTTGAGGCCGTAGCAGCTGGGAGGCTGCGGCACTTCCCAAGGAAAGGCCTGGTTTGCTTTGTGCTGCGCACACTGATGAGTGCTAATGTATTTCGGGGCTGAGCTTGCCGCAGAATTGCTTTTTAGTGCTTCCCTACTGGAGGATTTTGTATGTTAATGTCCTTCCTTGCATAATGAAGGAGTAAATCTCAGCCCTCCTAGCCTTATGTCATGTCATACTGATTGGAACTTTACATTTTAATCGTCGCTAGTTCAAGCCTTTCTTATCAGTCTTGTATCAAATGACATTTATTCTACCAAATGGAGTTATATTTTTGATTATTTTGTGATATAAATAGTAGCAGAAAACAAAGGCTTTTCATTTTTTTTTCTTTTGCATGACCATTTACCTTAAAAAATGCTACTTTCAAGATGCATCAGGATTCCTTTCATTAACCTGAAAAACAAAGCCAGTGAACATGAACAAACGTGCACACAGACTAGGATGGGAATTTTAGGACTCAGCAAAGAACAGGCTATTTCCACACAACCAAGAGGTACCTGCAAAAACAAACAAAACAGCCACGGTCCGTGGAATAAAGCATCAAACCTCTTCAGCCCACAACCCTGACTTCAGCTGAGAGGACCTCAAGTTCAGGACACTACAAAGAGGTAATGTAGTTCATCACTGGAAAAAAGTGGAAATAAAAGCTCTTTTTCCTGTGGCTGTTCATTTCCCTCAGTTTTACACATAATTAGGTCAGATTCAACTGTCAGCACACAGCAGAAGCTGAGTTATTTAGTTTAAAATAAAAGCATGTATTTCTATCACCTTAGGAGTTGTTCTTCTCTTGGCACCAGCATCCTGTGATCCTCCCACTGCCTTTTATCAGCAACTTCAAAAGAAAAAGGAAGTTATAATTGCTCTCTCCTCTCACCTTAGGAAAAAACAATAATAAAGTCGGCTGCTCTTCTCCATTTGCCATCTTGAGACAAAACATGCTTTGAGGAAATCTTTATTTACAGAACAAAACCAACAACTCCTAAATTCCCATGGGCAGAGCAGGTCAGAAGAATAAGGATATTCTCCTCCTCCCCCTTCCACCATCCACTTCCACATTCTACCTATTCCCTGTCCCACCTACTGCACTATCTTTCCTCAGCACAGCAGCTGTCTTTACTGTCGTGATTCTTGTATGCATAAGCATGGAAGGCTCCTTTTGCCTTTTTCTAAAATTTACTTTTGCCGAATTCTTTAGTTCTTGATCTAAACTATGCTCCTCATATAGTCATTCATAGAATCACAGAACGGTTGTGGTTGGAAGGGACCTCCAAGGATCATCTAGTCCAACCCCCCTTCTCCAGCAGGGACACCCAGAGCATGAGGCACAGGGTGGCATCCAGGTGGGTTTGGAAGATCTCCAGAGAAGGAGACTCCCCAACCTCCCTGGGCAGCCTGTTTCAGTGCATTCAAGGCGGCATCACCCTCATGAAGTGTTTCATCCAATGCACAAAGAGATTCACAGATGCTGTATGAGCGATGAAGCTTCTCTTGCACCTAGTCATTCACTTCTACACAGCCTGATGAAATGTCTTCAATGTTTTTAGCACAATGTTTTTAACACAATATTTTTAGCACTAATCATTTCAAAAAAAGAAAAAAAGGAGTTAATAAGTTCTTGGTACGGAAGTGGTACAGTTAAATAGGCTTAGTTCCATCAAGACACCAGGCTAAAAAAAAAAAAAAAAAAAAATCTAACACTAATATGCAAAATCTCCATCACTTACTGCCATGTAGCTGTAAATGGACCTATAGGACTGAGTTGCATCTTACTTTGACTGGTATATGTTACCAAGTGCATATTTTCCAGGAAAAGCTGATGCTCTCTAAAAACAGCTGATGCTCTAGCTGATGCTCTCTAAACACAAGCAGCAAGACTCTTAGACTCCCTTTGTAGTTCTAGCAGTGTCCTGCACTCCTTTGCCCCACGGTTTGGATGAACAAGTTCATATACACACAGTTGAACTGAGGTAATAGTCACTCTGTAGCATGGAGGTGGTTGTACATAAATCCCATCTAAATCCCCACAAACAGAAAGCAGCAGTGGGAACTCAGGCTGATTAGTGATCTGTGAATGCAGCATCTCAGAGAGGACCACAGCATGAGCACACACAGACATAGGTTTAATTACCACCAAAATATAAATGGAGACAACTAGTACAAAAAAAAAGCCATTTATTAGATATGTACATATATACATACACATGCCAAATGATTTTATACACATTTACACAGGTTGTTAATAATACAGTGCAAAAGTATCTAAAAAGGTACCAGCCCACCTTCCATAAACTTAATGGGTCTTTGGGAGAAGAAACAAAAAGCTAACATAGAATATGGTCATTTTCATGACCACCAAAGTGGCTTTGCACTTCAAATTTTTAAATGAAGGGAATTGATTCCTTGCCAATTTTCTCGTGCTGTACTGCTGGATGAAGAACAGAATTTCCAAGGGATTTATCTTGAAAACTGACAGAATTAAGGGGAGTCATGTCAAACTACATTAAATAGTTTAAAATCACAAAAAAAAATAAAAAAGAAGGATTCCTGTTTGGGGATTTGATTCAATGCAAGCACATCCCACGCTATGAGTCAGATTTCATGTACTCAAACTGCAAGTCATTCTCTTTATTAAATCTCAAAGCACTGAGATCAGTGTAAACTATTCTATTCTTCTTGCTGTTTTACCAGAAGAAAAAAAAATTAACTGTATAAATACCACAAAGGTAGAGAAGCCATTGTAAATACTAAAAATTAATAATAATGAAATATATAGTACTTGCTCTGCCTGGTTCCATAATCACAACCAATCCTACAAAGTGCGTATATACTATTCAATGTAAATTTCTTAACATAATTTATAGAAAAAAAGAAAAGGTTGCAAAGGGATTAAGACTAACAATAAACCACAGTTTGGTCCATTTAGTAGAAAGGATGCAGTCACATCCTCTATCCACAAAGATAAAGAAAATTACCCTATGGAAGGCAGAATTGTACCAACTGATTTCGTTTGGTTTCAGCAAAAGAGTCACAGGAAAAGGAACATAATAAAGAAAAGCTGAATTTAATCTTCATCAATTCTAAACATGTCAACTACAAAAACTAGCTACACACCCTGTCCCATCATCTTTTTTCCTATCGCAGAACTGTTATTAACATCTGGCATGGGGATATATTGGTTTCACAACAAAGCAAGCAGTCAAATGCCAGGACAAGCATTAGGAACGACACAGTTTCTTCCAATCAACTCAATACAAGGATGAGGAACGGAAAGAAGAGTTCACTGGCCTAAAGTGCTGGTTTGTTAGTGCTGTTGGCCTTGACTTGAATTATTCAAGTCAATCGTGAATCAGGAAAGCTGCTTTGGACTCAAGAAGGCTCATGGTGTACAAACTGGGAGCAGGAACAGGTCATTGAAGTTCCTTTCACTAAGTTTTATCCATTTGTAGCACAAAACTCCTCATCCTTTCCCTGTGGGGTGAGATCGCCCTTCATATGGCAGAGAGCTGATGATCAAACCCACAAACGCCAGGTCCAAATGGATGTCCTTACCAAAGCAGAGGCTTCCAGACTGAGATTTTGGGAGTATCCTTTTCTCACCTCAACTAAAACACGGACTGAACTGTACGAAAACGCAAAGCTTGTTGTTTTTTACCAAACACCTCATATCTGTGTGTCCTAAGGATGGTGGTTTACGGCTGGCTCTACTTAAGCCCAGTTCTCTGCCACAGTCTGTGACAAACAGTTCTCTATGGAAGGAGGTAGACTAGAAGTATCGCTCTATGGCACACAGTTCTAGTCGTTTTCTAAACTGCCTGGCTAGAAATACTCTTCCATCCCTTCTAGTAGACTATTCCTCAGCTTAAAGAGTCTCATTACATTGCTACTGGCTAGCATAGGGTGGGAAATATCCACATTTCACTGCTGGGAAATTTCTGTCACCACAGGTTCCATGCTGCTTCCACTGCAGTCAGCTGCATCACAAAACTGCTTTCAGCTGAAGAGCTTCTGTCCTTACGAGATGCAGCACCACGGTCTCCTGGCACTCATAAACATTGAGCTAAAGTCGTAGAAACAACTCACCAAGATGCAAAAGAGGATTTTTGTTATGCATTTCCGCAAACTCAGGAAGGTAGTTCTGCATCACGTTAATCTCTTTGCAACCACTAGAGGTAGAGGTTATGTGAAAGGAAAATGAATCTTTGGCAAAAGACATTTTGTGGAGCAGAAAACAGTTCCCTATGGAAAGGAAAAAAAATCCAGGACCATATTTCCGCGGGGATACACCTACAGTTCCCTAAAAATTTTCAGTTGGAGGCTTCATAACTCTTCAAGGACAGCCACATTAAATTGCTGTGCATTCTTTAAACATAACCTAAAGTATTCACACACATCCTAAAATGCCCATAACCACATCCATACATTAAACAGAAGAAAACCCAGTGCAGCAGAGGTTAAGAAATTGAGCTCCTAAGTACTATGTTCAAAAGTGCACTCTCATAAATTCTTCTTAGTGTAAGGACTTCAACACCATTAGCTAAAGGTTTTAGATGTAATAAAGAGATCCTGCTCTTGCTCTCCATTACTGGAAATGGTTTTCTACTCACCAACTGCACATTAATTTATTAAGGTGAAGCAGTCACTGGCTGTCATAAGTAGGCTTGGAAGATTTATTATCTGTACAGACTAAGCAAACATAGAATTGTCCGTACAATAAGGGTGACCTTAACCAAAGAAATAAAGGGCACTTGAGCTGAAAGTTCACTTACATTCACTTGGTTGGTTTTATGCTGCTCCAAGCTTATTTACAGTAGCCAATGAGTACATACCTAACTACAAAGATGTGCCCTTTTGCCAGAAGATATTTAGAGCCTTTATGGTTTTCAAAGGAGCCACAGGCTTTTTGTTTCCCTCCACACCACAAAGGTTAACCAGAATTGCCTAATTATGGCCAACTCCTTCTTCACTTTCATTTACCAAGAATCTTAATGCTTGACAAATTCTACAGGCAAAAATTTTACCTGTGCTTTGCTTTCCTTGCTTTGCTATACAGTTTGGTATTTTTCATAAGAACTGGCAGGGCAAGACACTGACATGTCAGACTGTTACAAAGCCAGCAAGGCAAATGAGAAAATACTGAGTGGATGATATTAGTCAAGAAGTAAGAGCCTGTTTATGGCAATGAGAACCTCCATTCGTTGACAACACCTGACCAAATCTACCATGCATGGTTACCACATGCCATGTTGATTCAGCTACGTTCCTCGATGTAGATTTGATGTTACTAAAGGGTCCAGATTTATTCCAAATCACTTCCACACATCCCACCCGCCATAACCATTGCCACAGACCTTTCAAACTCTTCCAAATTATTTTCAGCCAGTTTAATACAAAAAGAACAGCTGTAGAAAGAGCGTGGCGAGCCCAAGATCTTTTCATACGCCGCAATCGGGCTGTTTCTCCATAAGCTGCCGTGTCAGTATCTGATGCGAGGAAAGCGACGCCACTCCCACGTGAAAGGCTATTTGCCAGAGGTTGCGCAGTCCGTACAAGTAGATGTTGCACAAACAAACAGAGAAGAAAAGGACAAATGTCTTTGTCTTCCTCGCAGAGCTGTAGAAGAGGTACAAGTAACACTAGAAAAGCACCAGAGACACAGAGTTAGCATTAAACTGTGCGTATATAGAGTCAGAGGTTGGAATAGCTGGCACCTTTGTGCCACCTGGACGTGCCTACAGCTGCATTATCACTAAGAAGCTCAGAGCTTCCTTCCAACTGCTCTTGGTCCTCCAAGAATAGCAGATTAGTGGCCTCAATCCAGACCCTACTGGCTAAGCATACAAACCAAAAGGAAACTCTGAGCACAGCCGGCATCCTCCCCACCTGCCTCAGCCTGGATTAAAATGAGTCCAAAAGCTGAGCCAGCTTCCAAAACCCCCATGTGATTTTTGCAGGAGAGAGGCTCAGCAGGAAAACACAGAAAACATAAAACAATTTTATGCTTCTGCTGTATTTATTCTTTGTTTAAGTAAAGGATTTCGTTCTCTAAGCTTGACTTGGTAGAAAGAGCATCCTTTCTGTTAACAAGCATCTCAGGCTTTTTTGTTTTTCCTTTTTAAATTTAAGAACAGGTGGACCCTTCTTGCTAAGCATGTGTGAAGGGCTCCAACCAGCACAGGAGAAAACAAATTTCTTGCAGAGTGTTGGCAGAGGAGTTACTTTTTTTTTTAACATAGCCAGTAACAGCTCTTGCTTTATCACTTAAGGTCACAGCTTCCAACTGTGCTGGTGACACAAGCAGGGATCATAACGGAGAAAGCACCTCACGTTTGAGCACAGTTTCTGCACAGGCACTTTGTGAAGATGAGTGTGACAGATCAAAAGGGGGAGGAAAAAATAAGAAAAAACTTCTCTAGAAGCATGGCAGAGCTGCACTTTGTGAAGAGTGACTTCAACCAAGCTTTTAGGTCCAGAGGTCCAGATTACTATCTCTGTTTTAAAGTTTCACTGAAACTAGAACTGTAAGAAAGCTGAAAAACTCAATTGTCCATCCCATGTGCAAATAGCAATTGGTGAGCAAAAGTATTGACTAAACAGCATGGGCTTAGGTCTTCTCTACCTGAAAGCCTAAAAATCTTTACTGTTCAGCTTTGAAACTGCGGAATTTTCTTTCAACCTCAAAATACTGAAAACAAGCCTCTGTGGTCTGGCCACTAGGAGGTAACAGACAGTATCAGATGTTAGAGGAACCTGCAGCGTTAGGACCACTTTCTACCTCCATCTCAAACACAGGGGAGGAGAAAAGGGAAGGAGAAAGAAAAATGAAGTTAAAAAAAGGACAATGTCTAATTGGGTCTAAGCTAAGAACCCTGTGATGCCAAAAGCAAACAAAGAAAAAATAACAAAACAAAACAAACCCACAGCCTCTTTGCAAATTTTAAATACTCTAGATAAATAGGAGCCTCCAAATAGAGCTCCCCAAGCATCACACGGCAAAAGACAAGAGTACTAAGCAGCTAACACACTGCAGGCATCGCTTTATTTCCTCTTCGACAGCTAGTAGCCAAAGTAGAGCAGCTGTGACCACAGATTAAAAATAGAAGGCTCTGCAAGCAGCACATTGCCCTCAAGCTAAAGGTTACGGACTTTTCTTTCAGGCACTTAAGGGACATTACAGAAAGTACCTGCTTGCACAGCAAACATTCTTCTCAATCACACCTGTACACAAAAAGGCTCCACTAAAAAAATAAAAATCCAAAGAAGGCAGGAACTGCATTTGCTTTAGGCTGAGAAGTAATTTTGAATGATGATGCTGTTCTGTATCCACTTAGTCTTTCAGCTTTCAGACAGCTATTCCAAAAAAGCCCAACACTAAAATCACCCCTATTATGAAAAAAAGATAATGTATCTACTCCTGGAAACACGTCACCTTTGGGCTAACATTTATCACACACAACTCCACGTTCCAGTGAGGAAGCAACTACCATTTTCAAGAGCGAGATTGTGCCCTTACAACATCCATGCCACTACCCTAGTACCTCTGTGCAATCACCTTTGGACTGTGCTGAAAAGCAAACTCTCTGAAAATTATTTTGTACAAAGCGTTAGACTGGCACAGAAGTATTATGTGGCCTTCTCTCACGGCTATCTAACATTATGCAGCTTCCTACTCATTTAAAGAGTGCCTGAGGTTCTAACAAACTGCAAAGTGTTTATAGCATGTAATATTTTAAGGGTCCCTATGCTACTGAAGATGGCTTTTGTTAAGGCTGCCTATCAATACTATTTATTCTAAAAAGTTTTAGCTATAACTGCTAAAATTCTAACTCTTAATAGACGTGAAATACAACACACTGAATCCTAATGTGTTGTCTTTACCTTCCATCAACCTCAAATCCAAATTAGTAACTATGTAAATACCATCAAGTGCAATGTTCCACTACCCATAATTTCTTTTTTATTTGCACCCTGATTTGTTTAGACACGACCACATCTTGAACAAAAAGACCATGTGCATTCTTGCAAAGAATGCATTCACTTCCCCTCACCTCTTCCTTCAAGCAGGTTTGATTTATATTAATCTTTTTGGTATCGTTTCAAATATAAGAGGCATGTAAAAAAAAAGAAGAAAAAGCACTGGACATGGCCTGGATATTGGGCCAAACCATCTTAGAACCCAAACATTTGTCTCCAGATTACTTTCAGCAATACCTTAGGTTTTGTGAGCTAATAAATAGTAGGAATCATAAGTTGTGCAGAAGAGTAATGTATGGAGACCAAATCAATCAGGAACTCCTGACCCACAAAATGCAAGCTAGGGACAAATGGTAAAATGACATATTTCTAATATGCATGTTATACAGTAGTGTGAGTTTAATAGAATTCTCATTACGGTAATTAAACATATATCAAAAATAAATATGTTATAACATTAAAAATTAGAAAGTGTATTGTTTAAAGTTAACATACCTGAAGAACACAGGCTATAAAAGGTAGGAAAAAAGCAATCACATTTCCAAGTCCTTCATGGTCTTCCTGTTTGGATGGAAAGGAGTGGAAAACAAGAAACTGCATCAGCTACAGTTTGATTAAGTGCTGCTTGGTATTTCAGAACAATATGTTCCGTAAAGAACCTCTCATCCTGGCTTACGATGACTGACAATAACAGTGTTATACAGCAGCAATATCACTAAACAAAATGTCATGTAAACCCCCTGCTCACGATAATTATTGCTAAATAAAATCATGTCACTGTGCAACCAGGATGCTATTTTCACAGTTTAAAGTTTCACAGTTTGTTTTTTTTTTGTTAAAATAAAAACACATGAAGATCTTCAACAAAATACTAGAATTAAAAACAGATAGCCTCACCAGAATAAGATATTTGTACAAATTTCAGGCATGCCACAAAATAAAATGCAATGTGCTCTCCATAGAGGCAAACAGTCAAAAATCTAAGTTCACTGGATAAACTAAATAATTTTCATGGAAATAGGTTCAGCCTAGCAAACTATGAAGTAGAATAGCTACCCACAATCCAGTTAACAAAATAACTTTTCTTTCCCCTCTTTTACTAGTTTCCACGTGAACAGGGTTACCTGAAATGAATACTCTGCTAGGTGAACACCTCGAATGAGATTCAAGGCCCCACACATGATGTTCAGAACAAGAGAGAGAATCCCCAGGGGAGTCACACGCTGCATTCTGTAAGTGGGGGCTTAAAAACAAACAAAAATGAGATACTGGTGAAAGTCAGAACTGTTACTTTGAATCTTTTAACATACAGCAACTCAAATCAGCTTAAGCAGATTAAGAACAAGGAGAGCACCTCTTCTCTTCCACAACTGGTAGTTGCACATATGAGACGTCCCCATGGATGGTTTGAAAGCTGATTTTTGTACCCAGCAATTGGTTTTACCTGCATAGTTTCCACATGACATTTGGGGCACTCACCAAGCAGCTGCCAGATCGTGGTACAGAGCTGCAGGTGCCAAGGACTTTCCTGCTGTGGTAGCTGTCAAAGTGATGGTGCCCAGGCACACGGGAAACACTGTCACAGGGATGCTACTCAAAACTGGGGCCCCGGCATGAAACTGGAGGCTGCAGCTCTTGGCCAACTTCTTGGCCTCCTAATATTAACTCTAAAACTCTTTTCTTTCAGGATGAGCTAATCAAGGTCAAAGCAACTGCTTGCAGTTGGCATTTAACTTTGGAATTTGCTGTTTGCAATTCAGAATATTTGCTCGTCCAAAAAGTTTGCCCATTTTTCCTCTGAGCCAGTTATTCCAGAGATAAATATTACCTCCACGTACAAACGTTGCCATACTCTGCCCTTGGATCACCACAAGCAGAACACTATCATCCTGAGAGTACGAAGGGCTATTTGCAGTTCAGATACCAAATCCCAATTCTCTTCTTTGCCAATGTTCACGAAATAGAAGAGAGAATGAAACACTGGAGCCCTCAAGGAGTCTTTCCAACTCTCAGCATCTTCTGGCTCCTCTCCTGCCCTGACCAGCTGCTGACTGCTCTATATAAGCCACATAACACAGCAGAGTTCCTCTCTGGCTTCATTTCAGTGACAAGTGAACTCCCCTAAGAGACTAAATATTGCAGTACTGCATGGTTTAAAACAGAAAAACACTTCTGCCTTCTCCCTAAACACAGACTTTCCTTATATGGGCATGTAAAAAATGTTTGGTGTTAATATAGCAATGTAAATTATCTTTATATATGTCTATGCAATTAATCTATCTGGCATGAATTCAAATCTGCTCCCATCTCCCAGGCTGTTGCAACAGGAACTATATTAATCTTATTTGCAATATGCCACATTATGTAGCATTACTGTATATTATTGTTAAGCACATTTCTATGTAAATAAATATGCAAGGATTCTAGTCATTTCTTTGCTTTTTGGCTATACAGTGAAATTCAACACCCCAGCAGCTGTACAAACATGTTTGCTCTTGGTCGGAGTACCCAGTTTATTTGTGATAAATTAAATATTGTTGCAACAACTATGCACTTCTCTCTCTCAGAAATTTCCTGACTAAGGACTACTGTTTCTTCTTAAATTGCTAAGATTTACTCCAGAAGCCGCCAGTTTCTCTTTTAAACAATGGAGGAGCTGTCAAGCACAACTGTCATTCACCATACAGGATCATGCAAAACTACACTCGTCAACACTTCCCAACACCTAGGGAGGAAAAATGCAAGTCTCAATATATTGTTTCTACAGACTGAAGACCAGAGCACAGAAAATTATTTATAAGTTACAAATTTTGTCCAGCAAATACAACTATTTATTGTCACAGAAGCAGAGGAAATTACAATATCTAGTTGCTGTAGGTTCACAGCCTGTGAAAACTGAAGTTGTTAATGGTAGAGTTTTATTTCTTTTATTTTCTTCTGAGGCTTAATCCACAAACTGAAACAGTAAAGATCTAGTAATAATGGGTATTGCTAGAGCAAAATTATGACCACCCTTGTGTGAATGTGATTATCTTTTTTATAAAAAGAACTATGTACTAAAATAGCGTATTATACTAAATATGGAAACAAACTATTCCAGTAGAGAGCAATTTTGTATTAGCACAATTAAACAGCTCTTGGCTTTTAAAACTATATGAGTAGTCAGGTAGAAAAGTCATGCTCTTCAGAGTGAAAAAAACAACTATGCAGAATATATTATTTTGGGGGCTGTAGTTTACTCAGCACCCTGGAAAAATGCATCTACAGGTTTAGGCAAGCACAGAGCAATTCCACTGAAACACCCTAAAACAATGATGAAAACAAAAATTCCACCTATAAAAGGCTTTCTGAGCAGAGCCTTGTGGCTATTTAGCTGAAGACTGACACTAATGCCTGCGCCAGGCTCCATTCTCTCTTCAGTGCACTTGGCAGTGAATCACATACCCAAAGCTCCAGATAAAGACAGCACCAGTAGCGAAAAACGAAATCAGACTCAAACATTTAAAATAAAATACAGGCACACATACGAAAAAAGAAAGTGAGAAGAGACTATTAGGTCTTTTAAATACACATTAAAAAGGACCTTGAGAAGTAGTCCATGTGCCTACAAAAGGCTAAGAATATTCATCGAGGGGAGCATAATGCTGCATAATTTACTAGCACGCTTACTAGACAAATAGCACTAGACAAAAAGCTGTTCTTCCATTTCACAGAGCCAATTCTGTTCACAAAAAGCTACTTACACTTCACATTTCTTATAAGAATGACTGCACTTTCCTTCAGAGCTTTTTCAGCTATTCTCACATCAAGACACAAGTGTAAGTTTCTGCAGCAAAAGCTGAGGTCGGGTGCATGTTGACCAAGGATATTATGTTACAATATTTTTTTAGCAAGAATTGGCCTGGTTTTAGTTAAGAAAGAATAAAAGGAGAAAAGAATACAAAAATAGCTTGTGTTCCTATTTATTCCCATAAGGATGAAAACTCCCTGACTTTTCAGGCTCCTTTCACACTACAACAAAAAGGAGCCAGAGGATGTGACCATACAACTAAAAACAGGAGTCACTGTTTTTTGGTACGTTTTTGATTCTGACTGTTGTTTTGATCAAGGTCGAATTTATCTTCACTACAAATAAATTCCGCTCTCTTGTAGCCAGAGCACTTTGGTGGATACCCAGCAGATGTCCTGCATAGCACATTAATACAGCAACAAACACTGCCAAACCGAGAGCAGCAAAGTGGAATTCAGCTGCTAGTTAATGATTAGAGATGCAAGCCAGGAAAGCTAACTTCAGCTGAAGGGAACAGATGATCATACACTTGATTCTTAAAATAAAGAAGAACAATCTGCAAGACTATTTGGGTTAGACCACCGAGGACAGACGGAGACACAAAGCCAGATGGAAAACAACAGCAAGCAATTAAGAATGCGGGGGAAGTGAAAATGTATTTCTCATCACCAAGCACAGAGTAACTTGCAAATGTTTATTTGGCACCTAAACCGTTTGCAGTGATGGGAAGAATTTCTAAGCCCTACCACACTATAAAAATATTTAACCTTCAAGAAGGGTTCTGAGGAAGACTCACAAAACTGGCTTGTCATTAAGATGTTGTCATTTCTATCTTATTGTTCCTCTCTCCGCTGCTCCTGTAGATTTCAATCCAAAATACCTATGTCAAATTAGATTCCAGGTCACTCATCAGAAACAGCAAGACTGAGCAACTGGCACTTAATTTTTTTAGTGTTTCATAAGCCACCAAAGAAAGACAGAAAAAGAAAAAAAAAGAGAAAAGAAAGAAAGAAAGAAAGAAAAAGGATATACAAGCTCATGGTATCCCAGATGCATTTAAACTATCCTGCTGATAGGATTATTAAAAGCATTTTACTTTGTAATGCAGTAAATACGTCACTGAGTACTCAAGTCAAACATGAGTTATTCTATAATAATTACGGAGAGGATCGATCTTTTGAGAACAGATAAAATATCAGCATTCGCTACAGAAAGTTCTTTTGTTAAGTCTCTACATATTTTTAGACAGATAAACATATTATCTTTGAGAATTTCAGCCTAATGTATTACATTTTAATAACTGGGGTAAAAGGAGAAAGTGCAGGCAGTCTGAGAAGGAAACTCTTACCCTTAGCTCAAATATATTCTTGTAATCATTTCCTTCCTTGTGGATAAAGTAACTCACTGAGACTGCAATTACATATCTTGTACATTAGTCTACAACAAACACAATGAATTCATGGAGCTTGTTAAATTTTATTCAACGTAAGTATCAGCTTGCTCTTCACCATGACAGAAAGACAGCCTTTTCTCCCAGGTTTCATATGTATAACTTAGATTTCTCAGTACAAAAGGAACCACTACTACTAGGTGCTTCTCCGTCCTTCACAAACTAGGTGTTTGAGAAGTCTGTGCTGTCACCTTTGCATAGTAGTAACTTACCAACCTCCACATGAACTTCTGCATGCCCACCATTAGTCATCCCATTCATCAGCTCTGCGTCCTCCAGCTTCAGCTGCACCGGGGGCTGGAACTTCAGCTCCTCCTGAATCCTCTCCCAGTTGGCCTTCGTTTGAGAGCCGCTTGCATGGTTAAAATGACACTTCACTTTCTGAATAACATTATCTGAAACGTTACATGAAGAAAAAGTAAGAACTGCAGTAAGAATCAGCTGTACAGAAGTTGTGAGCTTCAAGCAAATGATGAATCAAATCCTGACTTATTAAAATTTCTTTCTTCACTTCTTTTTTCATTTCATTCAGATACAAAATTTCACTGCTGACTGAGGAATCAAAATACCTTTCCAAGGTGTTTTAAGTCACACCTCCTCCCTTCTGGATGCTCACCTCAACATCTTGACTCATCTCAACACCTTGCCTGCAAGTGGACTGTATACAGGCTTTTGTATGGCAAGCTACACATGACAAAATATTCTGTACTCCGGCCATGAGCTACCACGAAGTTGGACTGATGAAATACCCTATCATATTTTAACAATGTCAAGGAGGATTATTTTCTTCCAGCACAGAGCTAAATTAATTCAACCCATATCTGAGTCATATAACAATCCATCAGAGGCAGCGATTCCACCAACCTGCATGTCACAGATTTATATGCAGGTTTCCCTGCTATGTCTCCCACACTTAAATTTCAAATACAATTCAAAGACAAACTCCTTTTCACTAATTTCGCTGATAGTTTGACAGGAGATACCACCACACTAAGACCACGTGGCAAATCCGTCCGATAAGAATTACCTGCATGTCCTGAGCTGTAGTACCTCAACGAGGATATTGCTATTTCCTATTTCATTGTGCAAAGGCATGAGCGAATTCAAGCTAATTACTTTCAGTATTTAGGCAAATAAAACATAGAAATATTCATTTTATAAAGAATGTGAACAAAATTCCCATCCTTAAGTTACTGTCATGCTAAAAGACCTGCACAGGTTGACCAGAGCTACTGCTGGATATCAAATGTATATAGTAGCTTAGAGTACAAGTTTAGACAGCACACAGGACTTTATGTTATGCTAGAATACACTGTCATAAACATTCATCACTGAAAAATCCTGACTTTTATCTTGACTCAGCCTACTGTAGTAAATGCAACTCCCAGGCAGAAGGCCAAGGTCTTGCATGCAAGATCATCTTAGATCCAGCCAAACACACAAAAATGATGCAGCAACATGTGGCAGACTCAGTAATAAAACATACTATCATACTAAAAAGCAAGATTTTGTACTTTATTTCCTTTGAGGGGAGCAGTATGACATTAAAAGCAGCTGTAAATTCCCAATCAAGTTGGGAAAGGAATAATTTGGATTTCAGCATAAGGTTACATTTCATCTAAAACGTGACCTGCAAGCAATTCACTTAAAATACCACATGACTGTACGATACTTTCCACGTGGATTTCTCAGTCTTTTACCCTGGAGCTTAACTCTGCTCCAGAAATCTGGATAGAAGTGTGCTAACCCACTACTATATGTTATCTTTTCCCAGAATAGTTTCTCACTTAAAGGGAACAGTGTTTTGCAAAGGTGAGATGTTTAGTACAGCAGCTGCTATTTAGCAAGAAAGCCATTTATATCAAGTTAAAAAGAAAAAAAGAAACAGTAGGCATTATTTGAAGTATTATACGAGTTCAAGTCACGCCAGAAATGAAGTTGTCCATAATAATCTATTTTGTCTCCCTTTTTTCCTGTACCCATCTGTCTCCATCTGTCAGATATTTTGTAATTAAATTATATAGTGTTTGAGACATGGATTGCCTTATTCTTCTGTGCTTATTTATTAATCAAAATAGCACTGTGCTCATCTATTACTGGGGCTCTCAGGAACTGCAGGAACAATAATCTAATAGTTTAATGCAGTTGCAAGAGCTTCCCCTCCTCCTACACACACATACACAAATTCATTTTTATGATCAGCTTTAGTCAAGCAGCATTACTTAACATCATAAAAGTAACAGACAAGGTACTTCTTACTATTAGGGAACAAAGCTACTAACCAAATTCAAGAAAAGCATACGGTCTGGAAGCTAAATTGATGCTTGTTGTATCATAGGAGGCGGCAAATTCCCACTGAAGCTCCTCCAGGAAGCAAAACGCCATGATGGTCGAGTAATTGCTGGAACAGATTGCCATGCAGGCAATATCATCGGAGGAAAGAAAGCTGAGCAAAGAGAATGTATATATCACATCAATATAGAAAAGGAAAAGGGTCATGTAGAACATGAAAATTAAACTGTGCTGTCAAAACAAATGGAACAACTGCTTTGACTGAAAGAGCAGACTGGGAAAATATATCTTGTTTGCACCACTGTCACACCTGTGACACCTCTGTGTATCTATCACTCTTGTTCAACAGGCCTTAGTATATTAAAGATCACAACCTAGGTTTTAATAAAGTGTTATATAATTAAAATCACAGATATTATCTTTCCAGATCACCTTTAAATCGTGCTAATGAGGAAAAAAAAGGCCAGAAAACATCATGAAGAGGAAGATTAGAGGGAAAGAATGGTGGCTTTCAACAAACAAAAATAAAAAAGAAAGCAGTCATGATCCCTCCAGCTGCAGCTCATTGCACTTTTGAATATGACTTCATATTAACAGTAAAAGATGGTTACCTTGCACAGATCAAGATATTTTAACACTATTACTGCTCAAACATCTTTTACAAATTAGTATCATTTTGTATCAGAGAGAGCATTAAAAAAGTTCTACCCCGGGAGAGGGTTCCTCCAACACTGTTATATTTATGCATAAGTTCCCATTTTCAGATGCTCCAAAACCTTATAGTGGAAACTCACTGGGGGAATTCATCTGACCAAATGCAGGTGTCTAGTCCAGCATAACTGAAATCACTCTCTAGACTTCACTAAGCAAAATGTGAGTCAGGGCACATGGTTCAAATGTCAGCACTTAATGCATAAAGAGAAAAATTTCAACAATCCCCACCATAACTAGGAATTTGTAATTATCACTTTCCTCATTTTGTAGTCATCCAGCTATAATATTCAGCATAAAATCTAAGTTTTAAAGTTGAATAATTGCTCCTTCTCTGTATTCTTCCTCTGTTCTACTATTTATACATTTCATCCCTCTCATACATAAATACTTTCTGTTTCTATCTGTACCACACAGCTATACACTAATCTCAATGCACTATGAGATTAGGATTTATGATTTGATTAGCTCTGCAACAGCCTTGTCACTCTAAGTTCATTCTTTAAATTCTTTCTGCTCCTGGCTCGCAGCTGAGACTGAACACCATAATGGTGTAACGCTACCCTCCTCAAGCTGTCAAAAATTTATAGCCTTTACACCACGTATCTGTTTGCACTCTTGTCATTTCACAGTCAGATGCATAGCTACTTCTGGAGAGACTACGGAAAATTAAAAGCAGCAGGATATATGAGTATTAAAGGTCAGAAGTTCACTTTGAAGGAAAGTCAATTGAAATGCTAATCTTTGTTTTTCAGATTCATCCAGTGTAAGTTCATACATCTTCCTTCCTAAATCTTCACTTCTTCCTAAAAAAGTTTTAGCTGCAGTTAATCACTGCAACTTCCCTTTGCTAACCAAAAATGTAGTCACAAGCCAAAACTCATTTTAACAGTTAAAGTAAACAGTAAATGATAAATTCTCTTCCTGAATAAAATCTTCATTTCCTAAAATCAAAATCAGCAGATCCCTTTCCAATACATAAAAGCAGAAAATTAAGCTTTTCTCCAGAAAGTCAGTATGTTTCAAGCCTCCTTAAGACTGAGCTTGTAGGGACATGAACTCTGCTCGTGTTCAGAAAGTGGACTGGGTGGCTGCAGTGCTAAGACACAAGGTTTCCAAATACTGCTGAGAATTTAAAATCTAAACATGCACAATGGGATTCCATAGTGGAGCTGGACATTATGGAAGATACTTACCTTTAAAACACAATTAATCGCCAGGCCAACCGTTTTCAAGATTAAGGTAAACAAACAGACAAACTCTGGACTTACTGTATGCTAAGGTCACGTCCTTTTGCTGTGCCTCGACTTGGATACCGTGCCAAAACTGATGATAATGCCTTTAATCTCTTTCTGCATTCTAGAAAGTCCCGGTTGAAATGAAAATCGGTGGAGGCTGAGAGGGGAAGCCCATCCCTCACCCGCACCACACAGGCGAAGAAGATCATGGACATTCTCCACTGGAGCACTCATGAGGACAACCTGTAAACAAGTATTAAATTGGGTCAATTGACAGATATGATCTCACTTACAAGCCAAAATGGGAACTAGTAATATGTCAAGGTAACAGTTTATCCACCACAGCTACTAAACAAACCTCTTGTACCATAACCACTAGTGAAAGGCAATCACAGTAATTTAAAGGTCAGAACCATACGCACTTCTTGCCTCTCACAGACACACACACATACAAAAGGCTGAAAAACTATCTACCTGAAAAGAAATCAGTATTTTCTCCTCCTCTCAAGCATCAGAAATGTTAAGGAAAGTTCTTACAGCAATTTATGGAAACTGGTTAACTCCCACTGACAGGCTGCAGCTTCACTGATTCTACAGAGGCCTTCGCACTGTAGACAGGTCAGGTTTTCCAGTATAACACAAAAATGCAAATTTAGGTCAAGAGTCTGGCTCTTTTTTACAGAAATAAATGTGGAATAAAAAATCCTCTCTTGACTACATATTCCTTAAGAGATCGTTTAACCTCCCATGAAGCTTTATCATCAGGATTTACCTGGTACACTCAGAACACGCACGAGATCGTCCTTCAGACATAACCACAAGTATTCCGTACAGGATATGAGTCTTCACTAATACATCAGCTCACATCATCTCTGAAAGATAATCATACAGAGCATTTTAGAGAACTCAACAGTGACCTACATATACAGATACATACACACACACACACACATATATATATAAAACAATATATTTCCCATTCAGTGAGTAAATATATCCTGGAAAGTATTTTGCTCAGGAAAAAGATAAAATAAAAAAAGCCCTTCCTGCTAAATAAGTCAATTCCTACCTATATGGAAAGATACCCTGATCACCTGCTAGGAAATTATGTGCAAAATATTTCTAACATGCTCCATTACTCTTTTTCTTGAAAGACTTTAAGGTACTATCGATATATTGTGACAGTATCCATGAAAGAAAGCAGTGCAGAAAAACTGCTAAAAGTGAAACTGATAAAAAAAAACTGATAAAACTGAAAACTGATAAAAGTGAAATGGAAATTAAAAAAAAAAAAAAAAAAGGAGCCAGCTCAGAAGTATAAATTTTGATATAGTCAGCTTCTAAATATAGTTCTTCATGTCCTCATGTCTCCATGTCCAAAAGCTACTGTTTTATGGTCAATGGTTGCTAATGCTGATAGAGTTCAGAAGTATCCAGGTTGATAAGCACTGAAGAGGCAATATACTGAGTGATCTCGTTTACCTTTCAGAAAAAGCTAATGAGCAGTAAAATGGAAAGGCAATAAATAGAAGACAGGATATTTTCTAAAATATAGTGAGTTGAATAATTTCATGGATTAAAAATGCAACTAACAGCAAGATTTCAGGTGAAAAATGGACATCATTTAGCACAGTATCACCTACAGTTAAATAGACATTTGCAAAAAAATAAATAAATAAATAAAAATTCACACCTCAAGGCTTAAGCTTTCAATAAATATCAGTGCAGTCTCTCATAGAGATGCCCCTTTCAGAAGTGCTGCATCCTCCTGTAATAGATTTGGCAATGGCCACTGTCAGACTTCTAAATCAGACTTCAGACTTCACTGGAGGAATGAGTCAATGCTCCTTCCAAGCAGAGTAATTCCTGTTATATACTATTATACACTGTTATATTCATCTAAAAGATTGATTTAAAAAAAAAAAAAATCCACCTGCCTGTGAATTCTCAGCTTTGTTTCCGAAGCAAATGAGATTTATAGAACCAAGTTGTAAGTTCCAGTGGGACAGACATTAAAATCTTAAATTTCTTTCAGCTTTGAGAAAATAAGGAACTGTGTTGAAAAGAAGGATTTAATTAATGTCCCAAACAGAGAAAGGCTGATGCACTGACTCAGATCTTAGCAGGGAACAGGTAAGCACAAACTCCGGGCAATGCAACTGGAAAACTGTTCAGATTCTGCTTGTTGAGAGTTTCCTGTTTACAGTTTTAAGCAAACTCTATATACTCCCCAACAAAGCAAAAGATGTGCATGTTGCTTTCAGATATAAAAACAATATTTTTAAGTCTTCTACTGTAAAAAAAAAAAGAGACTGTTTTTTCCACTGCTTCAGGGTTTTATTTGAAATGCAGCACAGACTTGGTTCAAAGTGGCAAGAAGCAACATCCCTACATGAGAAGGCAAAGCCTGAGAAACAGTAAATTCAGGCAACTGGTCTGTCCATGTAACTCCTGTCTTGCCATCAGGCACATATCCCTCAACTTATCCAATTCTCTAATGTCTTTCTGTTTGTTTCTGCACATCTGAAAGGTGTTCTGCACCCCATGGCAATAAAATAGTTAATTTTGCTGCCTCCCTTGAGCATTACTTGCAAGTAATTACTTGGAAGGCAATTTTGCCCTGTCACCTGTAAATGAATGCATGCAAACGGAATGGAGTGATCAAGGTCTGCACATAACCAAGTAACTCCATAATTTTATTAGTTGCACTTCATCAACCTTTTTCTCCTCTGGCCTCTTTTTGTTTGCACACAATTTTTAACCTGCATTATCTGCAACTAGCTTTACGTGGCAGGCCTTTGCACTTGTGTCTTGAACTTTGAATAGGCCATCACATTTTTCTGTTAAGCACGTATCAAATTCTCCAATATTAAGAATAACACCCTGCAAGACCTGCTGTTTTACTGGTACAGAGTAGGCAACACCTTTAGAAATGTTCTATGAGATGGATTCAGAAGAACAAGTTGTAATTCATGACTTAAGGAAACATAGATTGTTTCTTCACTGCTTGAAGCACTTGTGCGAAGTAAAATTACTTTGTAAGTAAATTATTTAGCACAGGACTAACTAGCATAAACAGAACACATTTACCAGTCTTTACACAAATAAGATACCTCAGGGTGTTCTCACAGCACTTCAGTTATCTGAAAAGCTCCATCTCTAAAGTTCCTCCACCTCTAACTCTCTAAGTAGCAGCTAATGCTCTGACTACAGAGGGATCATTAAAGCTGGTCTTAATCAGACCTCCTGCACTTTATTGACGCAAACTTCTCCATATAAGAAGATTAGGTCCCATTCACAAGCATGAAGCTTTTCCAAACGCTCTACAAACTCCTATCTTTCTTTTATAGTACTTAAAAAAAGTTTCTATTCAACAGGCTCTGAAAGCAAATGTCAGTGTAGCTGATGGAGAAGTGCATTACTCTTAAAATACTGTTCTTTACTTAAGCAATTATTCTATTTAACCACTGAAAACAGAAGTGCCTTTTGCAAGAAATGGATAATACTAACAGAGACCGTCTTGTTACCATTAAGTCTTTTAAACATTCACTTTCTCTCCTTGCTCAGTCATGTTTCCCTACTTTCTGGGGCAGAATAGAGGCCAATTTCAATCCCAAGAACATGCAACTGCTTTGTCACGTTCTGATCAACCTGCTGAAAGATCGGGAAGCCCAGGTGAACAGTACCACACTCAAGGAGGCTCCCAAAGTCTGTTTTTTGAAACAACTTGTCGCATGATGGCAGCTACGACACGTAATGCACCCTCCTCTGGCGCATATGCTTCAGACACAACTAGTTAGCAGTGGGCTAATAGGACATGAAAGAGATTCAGGTTTTGTTAATCAAATGTATAGCACTTAATAGAGCTGCAGCTAGTGTACTGGTTTGAGTCTCAAGCAACAGGAAAAGAGATAAAAAGGATGGTTCAAGAGAAAGAAGCAGTTACTGCTTCTCTGATGCACCACTAAGTGAATTTTATCCTTTTCTTGCATACTGAGGGGTAAATCTGAAGTGCAAATACATTACTGGTCTTCTAAGATTTCGGTAACTCTATTCTTACTTCTCACTTCTCAAATACTCTCCCTCAATGCTCACACCAGTGCTGTCCCAGCAAGTGAAATCACAGACCCATCATGCATTAAGCACTGCTCTGCAGATTCAGCTGTGAATTCAATGAAGTTTTGAAAGCACAAGGCTATCTCACTTTCAGAAACAGGATTTGTGCTTTGAAGAACCTGCAGGCTTTCAAAACACAACTGAAAACAAATTAGAACAGAAGAAATACAACCTGCCAACCGTGACACAAATCCACCCAACAGGAAGTGTCAACCTGGTGACAGTTTGACCAAAAACAACAACAAAAACAAACTCTTCTACCATAGAGAGATTGCTCACAACCACGAGTGACTTAAAGATGCCTGTCCAGTGGCATTTTCAACTATGCCAATATCTGCTTTACCCTTATCCTCAAAGAGGTGCAGCTACAAAACCTCTGCTGTTGCCAGTTTCCTGTCTGCACCTACTCTTATTGACCACCGCAAGCCCATATGTTGTGCAAATTCAGTCTTCCCATGCGAATTCCCTGCCTCACCGGACACCCTTCCCAGCCCAGATCACTTGGCACCCGCCCTCTCCCCCCAGACTCCCCTCTCGGACACACCACCCACCTCAACCGCTCCCAAACAGCCACCCAATATACCCCAAAGCCTCCTCAAACCCCAGCGGGTCCCCCCCCAACCCCCTCCACGCCTCAGGACTGAAGACTCCACGCTGACCTCCCATTCAACACGCCTATCCCCCATCCCAGCCCCTGCACTGGGCTCAGACTCCACCTAGAACCTGCTCCCATCACCCCGGAGGCCTTAACCAGGAATTACCTTATAACATAATTAAAAAAAAAAAAAAAAAAAAAAAAAACTATAAGGGCCCTCCCTGCCTCCCAGACCATGTCCCCTTCTGTGAGACCAGGACCCCCCAACCATCACAGCACCGTTGTTCACCCCCAGGACCCCAAATCCCCCCCTGTTATTCCCCAAATGCTGCTCTTTTCCCCCCCTCAGCCTCAGGCCTCATCCCCCATCATGTTACCCCCCCACTACGCACACACACTCCAGACACCCCATGCCAAGCCAAGACGAGCGGGGAGAGGTTCTCAAGAAGCGGTCGGATGAGGAGGAAAATAAAACGGTTTTTTTTTCCCCCCCAAAAAAGCCCCTCTCACCTTCCCGCCCCTCGCGCGGCCTCGGGCCCGTCCCGGCGGCACCGCGGGCGGCGGCGGCGCCACAACAACCGCCCGCCCCTTCCCGCCCCGCGAGGCGGCGGCGGGAGCGCCCTGCGCGCGGGGCACGCCGGGACGGCGGCGGCGTGTGGGGAG